ACGGGCAAGCTCAAGAACACGCTCGACGGCCACGACGGTCGTGTCCTCCACCTGGACTTTGACCAAAACAAGATCGTACGCTCTCTTTCTTCACTGTGTCTCCGGCCTTCGTCTCACTGTCACTGAACGTTCTCGCATTCTTCACTCGTCATTCAGGTGAGCGGTTCGGTGGACAAGACAGTACGCGTGTGGTGGGACTACGAAGCCAAGGCGGCCCCTCCGATCACCTACTCGCTACACATGCATCAGGCACCAATCTTCCACGTGCGATTCAACGACTACGGTAACGTACCCCCCGCGCACGCGGCACATGCACGTATCATTCTAACCACACACGCACACGCACACGCACACACACCAGGTATCAGGAGCGCGGCGAGGGATACGGAGCTGATCGAGTGGGACTTCTACACGCCATCGCTGGAGGACGTGCACAAGACCCGACGTGCCCTTCTTCGTCCCATCTAGACCTTGAGACCAGCCACAACAACAAACAAAAAAAACAAGATTTGTTCTTCTCCCTGTTTGATGTAATGCACTGAGATAAGTGTGATGCAAGTTGTTGGTGTGTTGTGAGACAGGCCGGGATTGGATGTGCCAGATTCATTAACAAAAGCTTAATATTTATCTTTTGTTTTAAAGAGCTATTAAAACAGGTTTGAACAAAACAGTGAAGGCATGGTGTGGGCAGTCATTCACACGAACGAGCGGAGCCACGAGAAGACGCTGGACTCGGCCCTGGCCGCTGCCGAGCGGCTCGATGAAGAGGACGGGCACACCGCCTCGGTTCCGCCCACCAACTGGTACGAAACGTTGGAAACCCACATTGCGTCGGCGGACTTGGGCGAGTCGTTGGCGGCCGAGATGTAGAGCGACAGGGCCATCGTGCTGTCGGGCAGGCCGCTGGTGGCGGTGGTGCTGTTGTAGGTGCCCAGCAGCACGCCATCGGCGTAGTAGGCGAAGTAGGTGGGCATGTAGTGGATTGAGTAGTTGTGGAAGCCCGTTGAGGGGTTGGCGAACGGCAGCGGACCGACCCACTTGAGGTACTTGTACGTGCCATCGGACACGTAGTCCAGCGCGCCCTGGGACAAGTTGCCGCGGATGCGCAGGGTGATGATGTCCCGCGGGTTGGAGCCACTGTTCAGCTGGCCAATGGGAAGGGGCGGTTTTATGTGAGCAACGAGATTGGTTGCATTGCATGATCAAAAAACGAAAACGAAAACGAAAACGAAGAGGGGTTGGTGGTACCTCCATCTGCGCGGTGAAGCCGACCGTCGAGGGGGCCTTGAAGCGGGCGGTGTAGATGCCGAAACCATAGAGGTAGGTCTTGGTGATGATGCCGCCGGCGGTGAAGTTGTATCCGCCGCACGGGGAGGCGGTGCAGGGCGTGATGGCAAGCTTGAGCTGGTTGCTCGACGTCGACACCTGGTCGGCCTTGTAGGCCTGGCTGCCCGTCGCAGAGCTCGTCGTCGACCACACGGTGGTGTCGAGTGCGCTACCGAACGAGTTCACCTGCAGCTGGGCTATAAACAATACGTGTGTGCGTGTGCGTGTGCGTGTGCGTGTGCGTGTGCGTGTGCGTGTCCGGTGGTGAGAACGCTTCTCAGCCAAGCATCGAGGGAAGAGGGGGGGGGCTTACAAACGTCGGTGCCGCAATCGGCACCCTTGAAGCCGCCGTCGCAGGAGCACAGGCCCGTGTCGCTGTCGCAACAGCCGTGGCCCGAGCACTTGTTGGGGCAGGCCAGAGTGCCTGGTGAGAGAAATGATGAATGCGGAGGGAAGAATGTTAAGAATGATCATCGTTGAGCTGTGGATGGAAATGTGAGGGGTGATCAACAACGTACTGTAGCACTTGGCCGCCGAGAGGCCGGAGGGCGAGCTGTCGTGCAAGGTGGAGAGCTGCGGGTTGGTAAGCTTCATCTGCTCGGTCAGGGTCGTGTACGTGTTATCTGCATCCGTGATTGGTTAGCGATTAAACCAACCAACGAATCAGGTTGCTTGCACATACCATCCTTGTTGACGAGGCCAAAGTTGCTGTTCTCGCCGTCGCTGGAGCGACCCGCGGCAGGTTGGTCGGACCACTGGAACCAATGCATGCCGATGACGGGCTTCAGCTTGGCGAGCCTGGTGGTGTAGTTCTTGTAGCCCTGGGCGCGCTCGGCCTGGGTCGCCAAGAGAAGGCCCGCGCCCTTGGTGTTGGGCAGCCCGGTGTCCTGTTTGTTGAACGTGCAAGCAATCAATAGGAGTTAAAGCTGGGCCATCGTAGGAGTTGTTTTTGTTAAACGTACGTTGCCCTTGTAGGCGAACTCGCCCACGAGAATGGGCCTCTTGGTGTTGTTGTAGATGAAGTCGATCCTTGACGTGGGCGGACCGTAGGGCTCGCTGGTGCTCGGGTAGGAGTTGATCGAGACCACCTCGTTGTACTCGGCGCAGGCCTTGAGCGCCTGTGCGTTGCCGGCGCCGATGAACCTGACGCCCAGCAGCATGTGGTACGGGTCGTACTTGCGAATAGCTGTTGGCGTCCACCAATCACCATTTTAACAATAAAACACAACCAATCAACCAACAACATCAATCACACTCCTCTTGATGGGGGGGGGCGAAAGATGTAGGTATACCGGTGCGAGTGACGTTGAAGAACTGGACGGAGGCGATGTAGGTGAACTCGGCCGTGTCGTTGGTGTGCGCCGTCGTCTTCGGGGGCATCGTGGTGATGGCGTCATAGCTCGCGTAGGTCGTGTTCCTGTGTGTTCGTGCGTGTGAGTTGACATCTTTGCATCGTATGGCAAAGATGTGGGGGGGGGCTGGGGTGAGTACCAGGCTTTGTTGAGCGCGGCGATGGTCGAGTACTTTTTCTGGAGGAACGACACGGCGCGGATGCGACCGGGCGAGGTCGTGTTGAGTCCGATCAGCATCTGGTCCAGGATCGTGCCCGGGGCGCGCCAGTCGTCCACCGAACCGATCGGGCCCCACCACATCTGTCGTTCACGTGTGAGCGACCGCACGACACACACCGCACGACACACCGCACGACACACCGCACCGCACGACACGAACCTCATTATCGAGGAAGTAACCGATGAGGGTGGGATCGTTGCGGTAGGGCGTGCAGCCGGAGTTGGCCTTGGTGTCGACGCTGGCGATCCACGCCGGATCGAACACGTCGGGGAACAAGCCGTTGAGCCAGGGGCCGGAGGTCTTGCCCAGGCTGAGGGCGCGGGTGTAGGGCATGCCCTTGGTGATGACCACGCTGTCGGCCCAGGCGCCCAGGGTGTTGAGCTTCCACGAGTCGATGCGCGACACCACGGAATCGGCCCAGGCCGACTGGTTGCCGAACTTGGCCTTCACAGCATCGTTGTACGCAGCCACCCCTGGTTGTGTGTGTGTGTGTGCGTTGATGACATGTCGAACAAGAAGAAAAAAGAGAGATGGTGAGAGATCGTTGACGTTGATGTTGACGTTGACGCTGATGGTGGTGGATGTACCGGCGGCGGTGGAGTCGCCCCCGTAGTTCACTACGTCGACGCCGACGGAGAAGAAGGACTGGCCCTTGGGATCGATGAGCCACCAGGCGCCCGACGCGGACTGGCCCACGGTGAAGAAACACCTGTTGGGGTACCCGAAGTTGATCGCTCCGTCTCCTGGAGATAAGAAGATGATGAGTCACCACCAAAAAGATGCTCATGAGTAAAAGAGCGAAGCGAAAGAGAAAGAGCGAAGCGAAAGAACGAAGCGACAGAGTGGTACCGAGGGTGGAGCAGAAGATGGCGACGCCAAGTAGCAGCAAGAGGGGGCTGATACGCGTCATTTGAACAGCAGGAGGTGAAACTGGCGGTATGGCTCGGGGTGTGTAGGGGACGGCATAAATGGACAGTTTGGACCAATGGTAGAGTTGCATAAGATAATATACAAAATGTTGCTGTTGTACAACCGAGCATCGACCAACAGGAGATCAGTGCGTCGGAGAGAACCGATCCACCCCGCCCAACTGCGGGACATCGGGAGATTAGGGTGCCAATAGGAATCAGAATGAGATATCCCTGCCGGTTATCTTGCGCGCACTGGCTGAACGTGGACTTACTACACACATGTTGTCGCATGTTTAGCCCACTTGCGTTAAAAGAAGACCTGTTTGACAGAAACCAACGTGGTTGGTTAAACCTGACGTCAACCACACAGCAACTCAACAAAAGCAAACTTGTTGCCGTTATTTGCCGCCCAAAGAGAAAATGCGAAAGAAACAGAATTTCCTAGCGAACTCTCTGCGACATGTCAAAGGCTGAGGCACCTTCGACGTTGGCCTGGACCCGGGCTGCCGTGGTGGTGGGCGGCGTGGCGCTCGTGGTCACTGCAGCGGCTGCTGGGTACTACGTGCTCCACCGCCGCCACCGCAGGCGCTTCTTTTCAGAGGGCGGCCCCACCCACGCCCAGTCCGTCGTAGTGGACATCGGGACAATGGACCCCGTCCTCGATGCCGACCATCACCATCATCACCTTACCTCTCCCACCAGCGCCCCCGCCACCGTCGACTTGTCCCACGTGCGATGGGAGGACATGCTGCTCGGCCTCGCCATCGGTTCAAACCCCCCCCCAACGCACTACGAGAATGCGAGGAGGGCTTTAAGGTGGTTGGCTGACGTGGCAGGCCTTGGGTGTGGGTGTTGGCGTACAGGGGACAGCTTCGGGGCGGGGGTGGAGTTCAAGTCGCGCGAGTGGATCCAGGCCCATGTCGACTTCACGCGCTACGTCAACGCGCGCGAGGGCGCGTGGGCCGAGGGCTTCGCCGACGGCAAATACACCGACGATACCGAGATGACGCTCGGCCTCGTATGTACAACTTGTGTCGTGCGTGTGCGGCGTGTGTCGTGCGTGTGTGGCGTGTGTTGTGCGATCGCTGATCCATGCGTGGGCTTGGTCGAGAGCAGATGAAGGCGTTGATCGAGACCGGGGATCTGCGCTCAGTGGACGAGGACGTGCTGCTGGCCTACTGGTTCAACGAATACGAGACGGGCATCAAGCTCAACGGCTTCGGTCGCCAGGGCCACGGGAGCATCTTGTACTCACAACACGCACGACACACGCACACACGCGCGCACGACACACGCACACACGCGCGCACGACACACGACACACACGCACACACTACAGCATTTCGCTGATGTTGTGCAATACAGGAAATTCTTCACGGGCGAGAAGACGATTGAGGAGGTGCGCGGGTTTCAGGTGGGAGAGACTACCCCGGCAACGCGCCGCCCATGCGCGCGCTCCCTCTCGGTACCACCCCGCCCCACCTCTCGGCGCACAGCCACGGCCGCATCGCATGTGTGTCTGTCGAGTCACATCGACCACACGTGCGTGGCCATTCTTCGCTTTGTGTGCGCACACAGGCTTTTTGCCGGAGGCGGACATGGAGCGCATCTCTCTGGCCAATGCCGACTCGACGCACCCGCACCCGAAAGGTGGTCTCCTGTGCGCCCCACGCGCGCGAGAGAGAACACCCCACTAACGCGCACACGACACACACGACACACGACGCGCACAGCGCGAGCGGCCAGTCTTCTGGTGGCGAGGGCGGTGCGCCACTTGCTAGTGGAGGGACACCCGCACGAGAATATCATCAGCGCGTGCGCCGCCGGTATCGAACGCCTGGACCAGGAGACTAGCGAGTACCTCGCCCGAGTGGACCAGCTGCCCGACTACCACCTCGACGAGGTGCAGCGCGACTTCCTGCCGGTCCAGGAGGTGCTGTGTGGCCCGCAGCCGCTGACCAGTCCCTTCACCGGCGCGCAGTTTTACGGCCTCAACTCGGTGCGTGCGCCTGGTCGTCCCTCGGCCACCTGGACAGCACATCTCACAAGCGCGCGTGTGCGTGTGTGTGTGTGTGTGTGTGTGGGTTGTGTGTAACAGGACTCGATGCGTACGGCCGGGTGCGTGCTGTATCTGCTCAAGTGGCACAGGGACACGTTCGAGTCGCTCAAGGAGTCCATTCGCATGGGCGGTGACGTCGACTCCCTCGCGGCGATCGTCGTCGGCATTCTCGGTACACCGCACACGCAGCTCACAGCACACGCAGCACATGCACGAGTGAACTCAACATTGCAACGTTGCAACGTGGCAGGGGGCAAGTACGGGCTGGGCGAACTGCCCGAGTGGTTGTTCGAGCCGCTGGAGGACAAGGCATACCTCCACGAGACCGCGCGCCGCTTCCAACACTTTGTCGAACGCCTCACCGCCGGCGACTCCTCGTAATGACCCACCACCACCACCACCACCATCACCATCACCAGCTTGAATGATGGAAGGTGTCCCTCTTGCTGCTCTGTTCAAGTGTTTGTTGAATAAATAACCACGCCTCTATTGTGATAGTATCTCTATGTGGGTGAGTTCAATCGCTGTCTTCTTCGTCGTCATCATCGTCCTCGTCGTCGCTGTCTTCTTCTTCGTCCTCGTCGTCGTCGCTGTCTGCAACGTGTCGGTGATTGGGGTTGACCAGATAGGGGTCCTCGTCCTCATCGTCCACTTCGTCATCGTCTTCTTCCACCTCCTCTCCTCGAGACGTCTTCTCATCCACTTTAGCTGCATCCGACTTCCACTCCGTTGGCCTGTGCGGCCGTGTGCGTGTGTGCGTGTGCGTGCGTTCGTGTGCGTGCGTGAGGGTGTGCTAGGTAAAAGGAACGAGATGAGGAGTGCGTACCACAAGCCCAGTCGCTCGATGTTTTTGACGTGGTTGGGGAAGAGCACGGTGGCGATCCGACCGCGCAGCTTCTTGTCCGCTTTGTTCAGCACCTCCTCAAAGGGCTCGATTATAAGATAATTGCCTAAAAATATAAGAGCAATTGTGAATAAAATAATAAAGGCATATACTCAAAGATAAAATGAAACAGATGCGATTTGCAGAAAGAAAGATGAGAAAATTGAGCGATTGAGATGAGATTTTAAGCTGCACAAAAAGAAGAGCTTGGGAGGGGAGGGGGATAGGTGCCTCTCTTGATCCAAAGGGTCTTCTTGAACTTGGCGGGCATGAGGCAAAGAATCTTCTCGCCACTAGGCCGCACTACTTCGACAATGTTGCTGCCACGCATCTCCGTTACTCGCACGATCTCCTGCTCGCCCTCGGGCACCGGATAGTCGTGCAGCGATCCCGTCACCACATGCTTCCTCGAGTGGCTCATCTTGTAAGAAAATAAAAATCATTTATTTCCTTTTCTTTTTTTAACCATTATTAATAATTTTGTTTTTTGTGCACCAAAAATCATTACACAAAAGATTACAGGAACATCTGCATCAATGAAGAGAGAAAGAGGAAGGCAAGATGGAGAAGCAGCAACAGGCAGAGGAAGGGGCTACCAATGGCCAGACGGGGCACACCAACAAGAGGAAGATTGAAGAGATTGAAGGTGGGAGGCGTACGGGTAGGCTCGATGCTTTCGTCATCAGGAAAAAAGCAGACACGCCAAAGAAGTTGAAGGCTCCGTCCATCGAGATTGTGGTCCAAAATGGAAGAAGCGTCGTCACCTATGAGAAATCGGTCCTCTCTGAAGATGAATGTGCGGAATTGAGCCAGGAAGTGTTGATCGCCGGCCACTGGTCGCGCGACGTCATCCCCACGTTCGGCAAGAACGTACTCTCGCCTCGCCTGGTGTGCTCCTTCGGGGATGTGGGCACCGCGTACCGCTACTCGGGCATGATCCGCAAGGGCACCGGCTGGCCCGAGGTCCTGCTCGCCATCAAGCGTCTGGTCGAGGAGCGAGCGAACCAGCCCTACAACTACGTCCTCTGTAATCTCTACAAGGATGGCGACGACTACATCGGCTGGTGCTGCTTCTTCACCATCTCGGCCAGGCTGTGATTGTGATTATTTCTCATTTATTATTCTTTTTGCAGGCACGCCGACAAAGAAGGAGACATCGTGCCCGGCTCGACCATCGCCAGCGTGAGCCTTGGCGCGAAGAGGTACTCCTCACCAACTGCTGCCAGCGAGGGTCCACTCACGTGAGTGCGATGCAACACACACACCACACGCACACATGTGCCAACAGGCTGTTCAAGCTGCGGCACGAGCAGACGAAGGAGGTGAAAGAGGTGTGGCTCGAACCGGGCAGCCTACTGCTGATGAAGGGCGACACCCAGAAGCACTACAAGCATTGCGTGCCCAAGTCTCGTGTAAAGTCGCCCTCATCTTCTTGGCCTTCATCAACTTCTTGCTGACTCCCCAGCTCATCATCTTACCCTGTTGTTGTTGTTGTTGTTCTGATCAGACCGTCACGGAAAATCGGATCAACCTCACCTTCAGGCTGGTCAACCACAGGAGTGGATGATGGCGCAACGCGTCGCTGATGAAGATGGCAGCTACAAGTGTAAATAGAGAAGGCATGATCATTGCATTTAAGCAACACGGGCGTGATGGTGAAGAGGAGGGAGAGGAGAAAAGAAGCGGAGGAGGAGGACACGTGCACTCTAATCCTTGAGGCCATAGACTCGCATCATGAAGGCGCAGACGTCAAACAGCTGAAGGAATTCATCTGCACTGTCCACGAGCGCCTGATCCGCCGCCGCGAGTCTCTTCATGATCTCCGCCTTCTGCTTGTTGCTGAGCGCCGCGTCCACAATCCGATCGTGCATTTGGCTCAGCACCTGCACACCACAACCACAAATGTCATTTCAACGGTCTACCTGGTGTATGTGTGTGTGTGGTGTGTCTGTGTCTGTAAAGGGCGCGCACCAAAGCAGAGGAGTAGCCGTCCATCGTCATGTCCGTCACGGCAGACTGAAGTCGGAAGAACGAACCACTGGCGCAGGCGTCCATCAGTCGGTCCACCTTCTTGGGTGGAATCACCTGTAACCACGAAAAGGGTCAACGCTGCACTTTCTATGTGAAGGGGGGATTAGGGGGTCGGCCAGGTGCACGTACCCCGGCCACCTCGACTATAGCGTCTTCCGTGACCTCCTTCTCATCGTAGAGGCTGCTTACAGACTGCAGGGTCGTGATCGCCTTACGCAAATCACCGCCCGATATGCTCACCACCGTTCTGAGTGCCTGCCCAGATGTTGTTAAACAACGACGCGAGGGTGAGCGGTTGCGGAGCATATTAAGGCTGCTGATGGCGGTCGGTATGACCCAGACGCCGTGGTGCAAGGGCCCCTACCTCTTCAGTGATGTGGAGGTTCTCCTGTGAGCAGATCGCAACCAGCTTGTCACCCATGGTGTCGCCCTCGAGCGGTCGGAATCGGAACTTGGCGCAACGCGAGGCCAGCGGATCGATGATCCTGTGTGAGAGAGGGAGATCAGCACCACATGATTAAGGAGGAGAGCTTGGGGTGAATGGGGAGGGGTACCGGCTGACGTAGTTGCAAATCAAGCAGAACCGTGTGACCCTGGAGTAGTTTTCAATAATGCGTCGAAGTGCGGCTTGGGCGTCGGGCGTCATGGAGTCGGCTTCGTCCAGGATGATGAGTTTGTAGGGCGGGCACTGTCTGCCGTTGTAAGAAGCTGCAGCGGTGGCCACCTGTCAAGACATTAATCACATATCAGCATAACAACTTCGAATGGACATCAAGCTGATGATCTGGAACACGGACCTGCGAGAAGGACTTGACTTTGGAACGGATGACGTTGATGCCTCGCTCGTCAGATGCGTTGAGTTCCATCACACGCGTCTTGAACAATTCAGGCCTGCGTTGCGCGGCAAGAGCGCAGCAGTTCAGCATAGTGCCAGGAGCACGAGAACTGCAGAGAAGGTAGCGCGAGGGTACCCATAGAGTTCGTGGCCGATGGCAAGGGCGGTAGAGGTCTTACCTGTGCCGGGCGGGCCGTAGAGGAGCAGATGGGGCAGCTGCAAGTGTGCAGAGTGGTTAGCGATCCGCTGCAGCGCCAGTTGATCGAGCGTAAACGTACGTTGCCTGTGTCCAGAGATTTCTTGAGCGCTCGCACCACCTCCTCCTGGTGCGCCACATCGTCGACCTTTTTCGGACGGCTAATTGGGGGGGCGATTACCGTTTGAATTTGCCCCAACTGCGAATTGATCAAGGGAATTGAAGCATTTCGAGACACGAGGGTAACGCACTATTTTTCCACCCAGGGGATCTTGGCTGCACGCTTCGCCCCGGCGAATGAAAGCTCCTTGCTCATTTTTCTTTCTGCTCTTCCGGCGTTCTGAACAAATCAAACAGCCCACCGGCCAAAAAGGCGCCAATATATTCTTGCCGACAATGTTGTATTGTTCTTTAAAATTGACTTCACTGGTCCAGACCCCACTCAGTGACGATGAGGTTCATCAGGTCCGTGAGGGTGATCACTCCACATAGGACGCCCGAGCCATCGACCACGTAGAGCCTGTGCACTCTGCGCCAGGAGTAAAATAGAGAAATCAGTAAAGGGATGTGCATGACTTTCCTTAAGGAAAAAGAAAGAACCTTGTGCCAGCGAACTTGAGGATGAGGGTCTCGAGGGTGGTCTCCGGTGTGACCGAAAGGGGCGGAGTCATGATCTGATGAACAGATACGTTAGGAATAATCTATGATTCCGCTTCGCTTATGTACAAACGCCCACGCACCTCGTTCTTGTCGGCGTAGACGGCCTTGATGTAGTCCACCACGGGCATGAAGAGTCGGAAGAACTGTTTGCGGAAGAGGCACTCCAGGTCCGTCGCGCTAAGGTTGGCCACCAGACGCTTCTGCTCGTCATTTTACGCGGTCTGTGTGAGTGTGCGAACAGAAGGCTGCAGGTGCTGGAGGGGACAACTATGTACCTGCGAGTCTATAACGGCCACTCCACCCAGCCCCTTGGACCACATCAGCGCAAACGCATCGAGCGCCTTCGAGTGCGGCGGCACCGAGACCACCTTGGTAAAGGCTCGGAAGTGGTCCCGCACAGGCAGCTGACCCCTACCGTGGAGAGTTATCAGCCCAACTCGGAAGCACTCTCACATCGTCATGAGCGTACCGTGGCCCGAGGACAGAGATGTGCTTGGCGAGGTAGGCGGCAATGTCGCTCTGGCTGACCAGGGCCATGATCTTCGGATCCTGAAGAACAAAGATGGTTGTTAGGGAAAAGAGCAAAGAATGTAGCGGGGAGAAGGCAACACCCACCTGCTCGTCGAGCGAGACGATAGGCACTCGGTGAACCGCGAGTGTAGCATAGCGCTTTATGTTCTCGAGCATGTAGTAGAGGTTCTGGTTGATCGGAATTGGGACGAACGGATTCCGCTTGCTAAAGTCTGCAGCGACGGCCCAGCAGTGAGACCCATTCCACTCAAACCCAGTGAGCCGGCGCGCCGACGACGTACCGCAGAGCTCGCTGATGCCCTTGGTGGAAAACTTCTCAAAGGCCTTGTCCAAGTCGGTGAGCGTCGCACCGGCCTCAACGGACGGCGTGCACACCGAAATAAGGTACCTTCCCAAGTTCATGTTGTTGTTAGCGCCAGGCACGTGGCGTGGAGTGGTGTGGTGAGTAGTGCGGTACCCCAAGATGTCCAGTGAGTCGATGAACCCTGCGCATTTGCCCGTGGAAACGTTGCGGACTGGCAGCGAAGAGATGTGGTACAGTTCCAGCACCTTGTGGCCCAAGGTACGACGTGAGCAAGTGGTGGGTTAGGGAAGAGGAAGGTGGCATGTACCTCGAGCACCGCTTGGACGGTGAGGTCGCTGTCGGCGATGTACCACTTCTTGACGGGGACTGGAGGGTAGAGCCTGGTCACCGCCGTCATCTCCAGTAGGTCACCCAAATTGTCACAGTACTTGAAGCCACTGCTGCCCTCTGCTTCCTCCATCTCGTCTTAGCCTGTCTTCCTTCTTCCTCTTCGTCTGCGCGGGTATGATGTGTTGTGGTGGGCCAGGCGCACGCTGTTGAGGTACTGATGTCTGACAATTCTACACGCCCGCTCGACCACCAACCACGCAGAAGTCCACAGAATTTCTGTTCATTTTCTACATTCCAGGCCATTTGCTGTCGACAAAACACACAACGCGGCCACCGTCAGCTCGTGCGCTCGTCTTGTGCTCGTCTTCGTTGCAATTCTTGGTCCGCCTCTTCGCGCAGCTCTTGCTCGATCTTCCTGTTCTCCTCTTCGAGGAATCGCTGCTCTTCCTCGATCATCTGGATCTCGTCCTCCATTGAGCGCACCTCCTCTTCCATCTCCTCATGGTTCCACTCGTCGCTATCGCCATCGTTGTCTTCTCTTCGCCTCCCGCCGTCTCGCTCGTGCTCCTCTCCGATTTCGTATTCTTCTTCTGTTTCTTCTCGACTCTTGTGTTCATCGTCCGCATCAACAGCCGCACCATCAACGTCGCTTTCGCTTTCGTTATCGCTTTCCTGGCCGAGCTCGGTTTCCATCTGCAGGTTCTCCTCTTCGATCTTGCGCAGCTCCTCCTCGATGCGGTTGACCTCCTCCTGCTCGCGCTTGAGTGCCTTCTGGATGTGCGCCAGCAGGTCGGTCTCCTCGCCATCTCGTCTTCTTTGTCTTCTTTGTCTCCCTCTACCTCCCCATCGCCTTCTCCGCCTCTGGCTTGTTGTCGGTGGTGGCGCTGCTGTTGGTGCTGTTGGTGCGGCTGGTGGTGTTGGTGAACTTCGTCGCTCCTGGTTCGCCATGCGCGCTTCGGCACGACAGATCGCGCAACCGAGTCTACGCTGCTCCGTCTTCTTCGCGCCTGACCGCTCTCCTCCCATCGCTCTCGCTCAGCACTGGCGGCGCAGATCGGCGAGCGGAGAATGGCATCGATGATGCGCTTGGTCTCCTCGGCGGCCGAGCTGCGGTGGCGCGCCTCGGCCTCGCGTCGTGCGCCCTCCTCCTGCTCGGCGAGCCGTAGGCGTTCGGCCAGGTCGGTACGCTCCCAGAGGTCGATGTTGCGTTGCACCAGAGCTTCCTGGACCTCCTGCCTTTGTCGCCGTTGCGAGGGCGGCGTGCAGTGGCGCACGAAGGTAACCGACTTGCGCCGTTCGCTCGGGCCGGGCGTGCCTGGTGGCTTGAGCGCCGGCGGCTGCCGCCAAACAGGAAATCAATACTACGCGCAAATCAAAAATCAAGAAGAGAGAAATGGCAATTGAAGGGGCGCACAGGAGTCGGGCCTCTCTTTATCGCTTGGGCAGACGAAGGACTCCTGAAGGAGATGAAAAGGAGAAGGCCACCAAACACGGCGCCCACGAGCAGCGCCTCCCATAGCAGCATCGATGTTGTGTTTCGCCCGGTTTTGTTTGCTATGAAAACTGCTATTAAAATTGTTTTGTATTCTATTTTCATTTTCTTTATTTTCGATTTCCAGGCCCACAAGCAGACGAGCTCCTCTGCCTGGGCCAGAGCCAGCGACTGTTTCTTCAATGAAGAGTGCCAAGATGCAGATAGCGTACGGCCTCCACATCAATCCGAGATTTATTTTTGAATTAATCTCCAAATCTGTCCGTGCCCTTTTGTAGCTTTGCCTTTGAAGGCAAGCAGCAGCTGGTGCGTGGTCGCGGGATACCAGGCCACGCAACGTGCTGCGGCGAAGTGGTTCTTTCACTCAGTGTTGTGCCTCTTGTGAATAGCAGGAGGCTGTGTTGTATGGTAGGTGGCGAATCGAAGAATTCGAAACAAGTGGGAGACATCGCGTAGAGAGAGAAAGATGAGCAATCAAAATGTGCCATGGGCGAATCGAGGGCGAGGAAGAGGCGGACTGGGCGGGAGCGGCAGCGGCAGCGCGGTCCACGGATCACCATCATCATCAGCATCATCGAACGGCGACGGGGCAGCCGGCGAGGGCGAAGAGAAGAAGGCCGCCTCCCCGTTCGGCCCCCGGGTCGCAAGGCCAGGCGCCCCCGTGAACAAGGCCGCGGAGGAGGCCAAGCCCAACCCCGCACCCGCCGCCGGCCTGGCCTCCTCCTCCCCCTTTGGCGAGCGCGTCAAGCGAGCAACGTCCCCCTCCAACGACGCCGACAAGAAGCCCCTCACGAGCTCCTCGCCCGCCCCCTCGACTTCTTCTACTCCAGCAACAGCAACCACGACGACTACGTCTTTGTCATCGCCCAACTCCCCGTCGGTTCCCCCGGCCAAGGCCTCTCCGTTCGGCCCACGGGTCACCAGGCCCGGTGCGGCCCCCGCCGCAGCGGCACCTGCAGAGGTGGCCGAAATGAAGGAGCCGGCCGCCGCAGTCGCCGGAGGTGCTGGGGCCTCCCCGCTGCTCAAGGCCGTCGTCGAGAAGGCCGCCGCACAGGAGGAGGAGAAGAAGGAGGGCGAGGAGGAGCAGACTTCGCTCTCCACGAGCACCGACGAGCTGGACATACTTAAGCGTCGGTATAGTATCGCACCTCTCGGCCCTCCTGCCTCAGTGAGCTGGGTATCCATGTAGAAGTGTCGCTCACTCGTGATGGACCACCACCACGATGACATCAGGCCTCCCCGAACGCTGCGCGGCGTTGCGCCCAGTGAGATCTTCGAGCAGCGAGTGGCAGTCCTCGCAAACAGGTTAGAAAAATGCCACCACGTGTGCGGTTTGTGCGCGTGCGTGCGGTGCTCCATTAACACCTCTGGAATGCGTGTGCGATGAACACGACGAGCAGCCCGCGCAAGGACAAGATCGTGTACAACACGGAGGAGAAGAAGAATGAGGAGCCCACCGAGGAGGTGATCGAATCGCTCATTCCCCAAGTCGGTACGTTTGCACGTCTCCCACGTGGGGTCTCTGCCCCACCTGACCTCTCTTTCTTCTTCAGACATCAGCACCGTGCCCGTGACCGGAAGCAGTGAAAGCGTCCCCGTGATCGCCGTTGCTGCGCCCCTGGATGACGCGCCCGCCGCCAGTCCTGTGCTGGCGCCTAAGGTCCTCCAGGCGCTGGGCGTCGGTACGCTCTCGCACGCACGCACGCATTCAAATGAAACCCGCTCCATTGACACGCGTTGCGCTTGTGTTTGGTCAGAGACGAGCACTCTGAGAAAGAGGAGCAGCACCGCGCCTCCACCGCGCACGTCGGAGGAGGCGATGGCGGACGTCGAGGTTGACGTCGACGTCGAGGTCTCCGTGCAGGACCGACAGCTGGCCACGGAGGGCGCCTTCGGCGAAGGGTCCGAAGTCAGGCGGCGCAGCGCCACGGACGGCATGTCTCTGACCCAGTTCCTCGATGTCGCCTCCAAGGACGTCCAACAGCTGCAATCGGTACTGCTCTCTGTATATCCTTGTGCCATACGCACACAATCTGACACACGACACACGACACACGACACACACGACACACACACGATAGGTTACCAAGAGCCGAGCTATTCCCAAGGCCGGGTCGAGGAAGAAGCCCACCAGGAGGAGGAGCAGCTTCGCAAGCCCGGGCAGGGCTGCCCTGCTCAGGGTACCACCTGCTATTATTATTATTATCATTACTGTTATTATTCTTTTTTCTTGAGTATTATCATTAGCATTTGCTTTGTTTTTTCTTATTATTATCCGTGGATGGTGGCCGCTGACTCATCGCCGGCCGCCAATCCCATCAGCAGGCCGAACGGCCGTACAACAGCATGAACATCGAGTCCGTCACTGAGGTCGAGGGCTCCTCTTCAGCGTCGGAGGGGTCTGCTTCGGCGGAGGTGAGCTCGGTTTCAGAGGAACGGCGGTCCGAGCAGCCGGACTCGCCGCAGCTGGACTCACCGCAGCCGGATGCCGAGAGTCGGCCCGCGCGCGACCTGGCCAAAGCCACGCTCAGGAACTCCGGCATGGTACAGATTTCTCCCCCCACCCGCACACACACTGCTTCGCTCATGAGGTTATGGTCGTGATCGCAGTTCGCCCTGTCGGCGGACGATCTGGCCAAGGCGCAGCTCAAGAAGAAGAAGCCCGTCGACGAACAGCAGAAGTCCAGGACTCTCACCCAGGTATTTGCGTATTTATTATTTGCGTATACATATTTCTACATGTGTGTGTGCGTGTGTGCGTGTGTGCACATACTCTAACAGACATGCATGCGCGCGTAGGAGGACACGGTGAACATGCTGGCGCGGCTGAAGAAGAGCAGCTCGGCGATCGCGCCCAGTCGCCAGGAGAAGGAGGACGAAGCTTCGCCCTCTCCCTTCGGGTCGACGCTGAAGAAGGTGGTGAAGCCGCCCGGCCCCAACAACAGCGAACCCGCTGCCGCTGCCGCTGCGCCGGCCTTCCTGGGCGCTCTCAAGAAGTCAGCGTCGGCCTCCGCCGCGATCACAACCGAAGGGAAGAAAGACGAGCCCGTCTCGCCCTTTGCGCATCTCAAGAAGAAGAGCGCCGGTACGAAGCCCTTGCTTTGTGACATGTCGACTACCACCCTCACACACACCATACATCAGAGGAGAAGCCGAAGGAGGTCGCGCCTGTTGCAGCGGCGGCTCCGGCGGCGGCCAGCAACACCCCGGCCTGGGCCAAGAACCTCAAGAAGAACAGTACAGACTCTGCGCCTACGACGGCTGCGGCCGCCAAAGAGGAGGAGAAGCCCAAGGAGGCCGCGCCCGCTGCAGCGGCTCCGGCTGCGGCCAGCAACACCCCAGCCTGGGCCAAGAACCTCAAGAAGAACAGTACGCACCGGCTCAGTGCCCCCCCCCCCACACCCCAACACACAACACAACACACACAAAGAGCTCTAGATGATGATTGATGATGATGATGGGACATTGGCTGATCTGCCTCAACGTCAGCCGAAGCGGCAAAGGAGGAGGAGAAGCCGAAGGAGGCCGCCCCGGCGCCTGCGACCAACTCGCCCTCATGGGCCAAGAGGAAACCCGCCGGTACGAGATGAGCCATTTCTGGGATCTCGAAAATTGATTGTGCGCTCACACTGCCCACGCTTTCGTGTCACCCTCAGCCGAGCCTGCGCCTGCGCCTGTGGAGGAGAAGCCCAAGGAGACGACCCCCGCAGCAGCTGCTGCTGCTGCACCGGCCGCGGCTGCGAGTAACACCCCTCCGTGGGCCAAGAACCTCAAGAAGTCCACCGCGGCTGCTGCGACCGAGCCCGCCAAGGCGGAAGAGAAGAAGGAGCCCACCGCGGCTGCAGCTGCAGCGGCGCCCGCGACCAACTCGCCGGCGTGGGCCAAGAAGAAGCCCGGTAATGGCCTTCTCTCCCATCTCGTTGTACCAACGCAAGTGTGCTCACACCTGACCTCGCTTCGTCGCCACAGCCGAGGCTGCACCGGCGGCTGCTGCTGCGCCGGCAGCGAAGGAGGCCGAAAGCAATACCCCGGCGTGGGCCAAGAACCTCAAGAAGTCTACTGGTACACACACACACACACACCACACACACACGACACACACACACACACACACGACACACACGACCCACTCCCTTTCATCATGTCCGGTGGTGGCTTACCACGCGATCAATGATTCGAGCAGCAGCGGCGCCAGCGGCCGAGGAGGAGAAGCCCAAAGCGCCAGCGCCAGCGCCAGCGCCAGCGGCCGCGGGAACGCCAGCCTGGGCGCGCAAGAACAGCGCGGCCAAGGAGGAGGAGAAGCCGGCACCACCCTCGCCTGCTGTTGCCCCCGCGGCCGCCGAAACTGGAGCTGGCGGCTCGGTGAGCGCCGCGGCCGCGATGTTTGGCGGTCGAGGAAGGGGAGGCTCGGCTGTTGGCAGAGGAGGCAAGTTCAGCTGACCCCACTGAGAGACTCTGCATCCACATTTCTGAAATGTGGATCAGTAGATGTTGTAGTAATAAAGAAAAGGATTGAGAAAACTAAGACGGTTGGATTGAAATAATACTTTCGAAGAAGATGAGAAGCAGCACGAGCCGCGCTGCCCGCCTGACGGCGCTGCCCTCCATCGGCACCTCCTCGGCTTCTTCCTCGGCGCCTTCGGCCACTGCCCTCTTCCTGCACCATCAGCGGCGCACGTACGCGGCCAAGGCCAATGCTCGGAAATGTGGCGAATTTAAGAAGGACATGTTCGGGCACCACACCATCAAGGTCGATGATGGGCACCTGCTGGTCCTGCCCTCGACTCGCACCCTCAATCCCTTCGCCCGCCCGAGCGTGTACAAGGTCGACACCACAAAGGACGAATGGCACTGGGAGGAGAAATCGGTGAGCGCCCCGTTCCCACAGACCGGGCCGCGTGGGCACCTCTTCGGCCAGCAGCTCATCGTCGCGGGCACCCTCACCACCCTCGGCCCCTTGAAGAGGAAGGGCATGGTTACCTTGGACATGAGTACGCCCTTCTCGTGTGGTGCCTTTCCTGGAATTGAATTAGATTCCAATCATGATGCGATGTTTGCCTGGCGTGCAGAGGACTTCACGACGTCGCGGGTGACCATGCTCGACCCGGCATCGCAGAAGGCCACCAAGACGGTGAACATGACCAACTTCGTGTCGGAGGCCACCCACAACCCTGACAAGGTGTGGTTCTTCGGCGAGAACTATCTCAACGCCAAGAACGAGAACGCCTCCTGCGAGGTGATGGTGTGGAACAAGGGTGCTACTTCACCCACCCGCCTCGATTGCATGCAACACGCACCATCGCACACGCACGACACACAACACGCGTGCGCACACGCACACGACACATCTCGCTCACTGAGGAGTTGCGGGCAGGTAACAACACGCTCTACTCGGCCACGGCCAACACACTCCCCATCGTGGGCGATGGACCCAAGGAGAAGAAGGAGCTCGCGGTGGCTGCCGTGGGCAAGGACAAGATCTACGTCATCTCGCCCGACATCAACAGCACCAAACTCGAGACCTACGTTCTCGACACCGGTAGCACACCGGCGTTGAGTCTTGATTTCCCATCGTCGTGCCGATCAACTAATCATACACGCACACGCACACGCACGTCCAGAGCGGCTGGAGTGGTCGTTGGTGAAGACGAAGGGCGATAAGCCCGTGAACCCGCGCGCTGGCTTCTCGATCACCGCCTCTGGTGACAAGCTCGTCTTCCTGGGCTACGACATGTCGCTCAGCGACAAGCTGATGGAAGTCTACGTTCTCGATACTGGTACGATCTGATCTTTTCTACCCAGCAGCACATCTCCACCTTCACCTTCACTTTCATGAAGGCCCATCATCCACATGTAAGCTCACATGATGCCACGCCATGACGGTGGCGCATGCGCAGACACGTCAACGTGGGAGAAGGTGGAGGTGACGGGCGACGAGATCAGCCCTCGCTTCGGCCACACGACGACGCACCTGGGCGGCAACCAGTACGCCGTGATCGGCGGCAAGGGCTACGGCTACTTCTCCACCTCTGTCAAGGACTTCTTCAAGCTCCAACTCGACTTCTAGCTTCCAGCAGTAGAAGAAGAAGAAGAAGAAGAACTGACTCTTTCACACGCGACAGTGAGAGTGGTGTGTTTATGTAAATGTGTGTGTGATGGTGATGCTGAGGGGAGAGAGAGGCATCACATGAAGTGGAGATGGCGCTGCTAGTCACGAGTGATGGTGCGAGGGCCGGTGACCTGACCGTCCAGTACCGTCTGCTTCTTTCGCACTTCTCGCAATCGCTTCTCGAACGACGCTATGTCTGCCGATGTAGCGTGTGTATGACGTGAGTGAGTGTGCGGCCCAAGATGAAGGAGCGCCAGTGGTGTGGGCCACTGAGGTGTGCTGCGTACATGATTCGAGGACGGCTTTGTCCGACGGGTGGATGGCCTCCCCGCTGAGAAGCTGCAGCAACTGCGACGACCGCACGTAGAGCGATTCCGCCTTGTTGAAGTGGCGCAGTACTTCGAAGGTGGCACCTTCTCGCCCCTTGAAAGAAAAAGCACCGTAAGCTCCGCAGACGCGCGCGCGCAGACACACACACACACACACCACCGCACACGACAATATAGTCCGACCGTGAGGTGCAATAGAGACTTACCATCTGAGAGCCGATTCATAGATGGACTTCTCGGCGGGTGGGCACGAGTCGCTGGGTTTCAGGTTTCGTTTGAGGTACTCGGCCTTTCTGAGCGTCAGCGTGAACTCGCCGCGCATCCGTTCCACCACTGCCCATTCAAAACAAAAACGTGTAAGCGAACGATGGGGAAAAGAGGGGGGGGGGGAAATAGAGGGAGCCAACCTAAACCGAGGCGCGAGGAGTAGGCGAGGTGGTGGTGCGACTGGGCGGCCTTCTTGACATACTGGGAGATGGAGTGGTGGATGTGCAGAGCCTTTATGTACAGCGCCAGCGCGTCGAGCGGACTCTCGTCAATCTGCTCAAATGACAGAAGAAAGAACAGAAAGAAAAGAGCGCGCGTCAGTTGCGAAACGAAACATGAACCCACCTTTGGGACCAAACCGGGGACGAACCTTGGTATCAGCCAGCTCGATCACGACCGTCACCTTCCGCACCATCAGCGCCAGGGCATCAATCACGTGCCGCTGCACAAACCAGTCGAATTAGTTTTCGAATCTACAGACGAAAACGGGGAGCCAGCCAACATACCTCTTCGGGGGATGTGTACGCGGAAGCCGACGACTCAGACGAGTCCAGCAGCTCAAACGAGTCGGTCGACTCCACCAGCTCAAACGAGTCCTCGAACGATTCAGCGCCCTGGACACAAAAGGCGGAGAAGTGTGAGCGGAACCGATGACAGTCGTCCTTGGCGGTGTGCTTGCTGGTGGTTCCTTACCTCTTTTTCTTTGGGTTCCGACTCGGTTGTAGTGCTGGCGGCGGAGGTGGAGGGGAGCGGAGATAGGTCGAACGACTCCTTGAATGGGTTGGTCAGCGGCCTGCGTAGACCCGAGCCCCACCCTGCCGCGCATGCCATTGTTGTGTGTTGTGTGTGTGTGTGTGTGTGTCATTGTGAGCCCTTGAGCTTTGCCGAGCCGAGAAAGGGGGGCGCAGGCGTACCCGAACCATAGCTTTCGACGCTGAAACCGCCCGAGGAGTGAGGGCTCCGTAGGTAGGTGGGCGAGTTGAGTTCTCCGCTGCCACCGCTGCTGCCCCCGGCGATTGTCGGTATGTGCATGAAGGAACCGGGCGAGCCGTAGTTTGGCGGCGAGGGCAGCACAAGCATTTCGGTGCTCGAATTGGTGGGTGTGCTTTGCATCGTTACGCTGCGCTTCCTGTGAACGTTCGATCGCACATAGGGGGGGGGGAGAATGATGGTTAGAATTGTCGGTGCTTGGGCACAGGAGGACATACTCTGATGGTGGTGGTGGTGGTGGTGGAGCCTCGAGCGCTAACCTGTGTCCACCGTGTGCTATCGGAATGGCCTGCGAGATCGGGGTCCTGCAGAAGGTGGTCAAGGCGGCGCCGGCGGTGTCGTGCACGATGAACGGATGGCTGAAGAACTCGCGCCACGTGATGCGCTCCTCCTTGTTCTTCTTGAGCAGCGCCTGCAGCAGGTCCATGCAATCGCTCGACAACCCCAGATCTCTCGGGAATTTGACTGTACGAAGCGCAATCACAGATGTCAACGGCGTTCAATTGCTTGTGAGTGTGGAGGGGGGGGGATGAATGTGTTACCTTGTTCGCTGATCAGGATGTGTACGAGCTCGATGTGCGTGCGCACGTTGAAAGGCGGCTTTCCGGTGAGCATCTCGAAGAGGATGGCACCGACCGACCACAGGTCCGCCTTGGCGTCGTACGGCTGGCACAGCAACACCTCGGGCGCCTTCGCGAATAGACAATGATTGCCGTTAACGACCACATGTGTGCGATCTCGGAAGGTGCCTCGCGAGCAGCTGAATCAGAAGAAGATGCGAGGACGAGTGTACGGGCGTACCATGTAGAGAGGCGAGCCGCACAGGGTGCTGGCCACCGACTGCGGCTCCATGAACCGCGCGAACCCAAAGTCGGCGATCTTGAGCTCCCACCGAGTGCTGTCGTCGCCGTTGTCGCCGCCGGACCGACCGGGCTTGGCGGCCATGAGCAGATTCTGAGGCTTCAAGTCCCTATTGTGCGTTGTACGTTGTATGAGCGATTATAACGACCGGTGCTAACAACGACAACATTAACGCCACGAGTGTCACATCACATCACGATACAATACGATACCTGTGGATGATGTTTTTGCTGTGCAGATACTTGAGACCGGAAGCTGCGCGTGTACGCAAGAGACCGCGGTGAGTAAAGCGGTGGCTTAGCGGAAGCGAAGAGAGCGAGAAGGGACAAGGAGAGAGAGAGAGAGAGACGGGCGTCAAACAAGAGCATACCGAGCTGGCGGAGGAAGCAACGAGCCGTGTCTTCGCTTAGTCGCTTGCGCTTGTGCTTCTTCAAATAGTCCGAGAAGTCGCCGCCCACGCAGTACTCGAGTACCAAGTAAATGTACTCCGTTCCCTGTGCGTTTGTCGTGACGCCGCGATGTTGGCCCGATGATGAACGTCAGTACATGATGACGAGTAGAGGTTCAAAGCGACGAGAGAGGGTGTCGAACCACGATGACTTCGTGAAGGGTGACGATGTGATCGTGTTGCAGAGTCTTCATGATGCTGATCTCCGAGTCCAGTTGTCGCTTGAGCCTCTGGTTGGAACGCGTGAGCCGCTCCACGTCCACGACCTTGATCGCGACGAGCTCCTGTTATGCGACGGCGCGTGCATACAACAACGCGCGGGAGTGAGTAAATAGATGGGCGACGAGAAGGGAACAGGGAGGGAAACGCATACAGAGGGGTTGTCTTTGTGATGGCCGAGGTAGACGGTGGCAAAGGCGCCCTTGCCGAGGCGCTTGCCATCCGACACGTAGTTCCCGATGGTGAATCTCTTGTTCTGCTCCATATTTGCTTTGCTGGTGCTCCGGTTCGATCGAACACGTCGTGCAGCGAAAAAGATGCGAGGAGATGGATGGAGAGGATCCGAGGAGATGGAGATGGATAAGATGAGGAGGAAGAGGGAGCAGAAGATGAGGTTGGGGAGTAGAGGGGATGAAAACTATACAACTATATACAAATCAAATCAAAAGCCTGCCTTCCTTTGTACACAAGATCTCTCCGTCCTTAGAGTCTTGCTGATGCTTTGGTGGATATGTGCAATGTTTACATATAACGTTGGCCCTTGCGGCCTTGGAGGCAGAGCTGCAGCTCTTGGATGTGATTTACTGAGATGATGTAGTTGGCGTCGGATGTCCCCTCTCGCGCATTGGGCGATGATTCGTGCTCGTGCTCGCGATTTGTGGTGTTCTACAAATTGCCGCTCTCGTCTTGCTTCCGGGATTTCTCCCAAGAATGGAGCCTTTGCCGCCACGCAAGTACAGGAAGATGACAGAACCCAACGAACGTCCCAAGCTCAAGGCGCACTTCTCGCGACATTTCAAGTATCTGTCGGTTTTATTTTGTCATCATTCTTCAAAATCCGCAGTTTCCCGCCAACTGGCTCTCCGCAGCCCAGCGGCCAAAGTGCTCCATCACGCAAACGAAGGTCCCTGTAGGCTCGGCGGGACGGCGCTGATCGTGACAAGAAGGAGAGCCGAGGCTGTGGTGGTGGTGGCGGCTGTGCACAACGTGGAAAACAAGTGGCTTTCTTTCGGCTCAAGCGCAGCAAAAGCAAAAGAGGCCTCGGGTGAGTGTTCAGAATGAACTATGGGTTAACATGGTCTCAACATCATTATTCTGTTGGTGGTGCATGTTAGTTTCTCATCAATACGCTCTCCCTCCTTAGCCTCTCTTGCTTTGCTGAGAGTTGGACAAGACGAAGCTTGTCTTCTTCTTGGTGCTTGGCCTCCCTTCTGGCCTTTTTATCCTAGTAACTCCCGTCCCCGACTTTTTATTGTGGGAACACTCTCCCTCTCACTCCGTGATCCGGAGACACCTCACCACTTCATCTTGGACCACCGCCACTCAACCTTCGTTGAGGTCGTTGTTGCCTTCGCCGCCACGGCGAGAACTTGTTGGTAGCCCGCCGACTCGGCCAGCTTGGGCATCGAGCTCACGTGTGTGACATAAAAAGCCCACAACCGGCGACTGGCTGCGGAGCTTGCCCGGTGAAAATTGCAGACCACAGACACACACCGCCGAAAGACAGTTGCCTTGGCGCCTCCTCTACGCGGATTCGAAAGGAAGGGCACATACATCTTTCTTGCCCGCCCCGACGTCGAACTCGTCTCCACACGCGCAGAATTGGCGTAAATTCAGTCAGGATTGTTGCTTCTTCCCTTGGGTACGCTCTCGCCTGGCGCGAATGGCGAAGATGAACGTGCGAATTCGAGGCCCATTCTCGCTGGCCATCTTTCTGTTGGCACTATTCGAAACGCTGCATTGGAGTCTTGCCGCGGGCGACATCAACAGCCCAGACTTCTTCGAGAGGGAGGTGGACAACCTGCGCCATACCCAGGCTTCCTTCCTGTCGTCGGGAGATACCATCGTGCGCATCGCGACCAAGCTCGCCGAGAGGGAAACCGGTCGCAAGTACAGCGATCACGGATCGAACGCCTTCATTCATCGTAAGTGGGGCGGCCTCGACCGCGACCTCGGGAAGCGGCAACACGAAATTTCCTCGCGAAGCCTCAAGGTAGCTTTCCTTGACATGCACTGCCCATCACATTCACTCCAACGTTTTCATTCTTCTTCCATTGATGCACACCACATGTTTTGCTCACACCACGCACGTAAAGATCTCGCAACTCTCGAGTAGGAACACAGCACACACCGACAGCATGCTCAAGTCTCGAGGTCAGGCCCGGACCACTGTACACTGCGCTACCCCTTTTGCCTCTTTGCAATCTCATGCAGCGCCTCTTGAGGCGTGGGTTTGCACTCACAGCTCGCGACCTCCAAACACGAACAGAGCGCGGCCGAGCCGAGTCCCAACGCAACGGAAGGCGCTGCAAGCAGTCACCACAACGTGGTCATTTTTGCAGTTTTGTACATGTCTGCGACGATCTTCCAGCTGTTTGGTTCAGCCACGCCAGCTGGTACTGCTTTCTTTTCATTTTCTTCGGCACACGCGCACGCGCCACCGCATGCACCACCACACACACGCTGATTGCTCCTTCACCGCGCAGGATCGTCTATGAATCAACACATCAGAAGGAGAGCCTTCGTCTCACCACTCCTCGTTTTGCCACTCCTCTTCGCTCCCGTCTTCGGCTCGACTCAGCTCGACGCGCATCTTCCTCTTCCTTCCATTCCCTCCACATCCCTCCATCACATCGACGCCCTCAGCCTCCCGTCTGCTGCCGACGGCGCCACCGTGTACATATCGGCACCGCTCGCGGCGCCTCCTACCGACTGCGATCTGCAATGCTGGCTCAAGAGGCTCATGATCCACATCCCCGACCAAAAATTCTCGAGTTCGTGGCTCGGCGTCACCGTCACCGGCACTGTGAGCAAGGGCGTGTGCACCGGGCTCACCCTCGGCGATCTCCAGTCTTCGCTCGTGCCCCCGGCCGGCGTGGGCTTCGACGTCGCGGGCCTCAGCATCCAGTGCGCCCTGGACTGGGGTCTCTCGGTGCCCTTGTTGCCCGCGTTGGGGGGCAGCGCCAACGCCGTCGTGAACAACTCGAAGCTGGCGCTCACTCTGCAGCTTCAGAAGGACGCCGACGGCCTCGCCAGCGCGGCCAACCTCACCACATGCACGCCCAAGATCGTCGTGTCGTCGATCGAGTTCCAGGGCGACTTTAGCACCTTCCTCGACCTGCTACGCACCGAGGTCGCCTCGGTCATCTCCAACAGTCTCAACGGCGTGATCTGCACCGAGCTGACGAAGCTGGTGCAGACCAACCTCACCAACGTCCTGCAGGACGCCGATATGTTCATCCGCCCCTTTCTCAAGCCGCGCCCGCCGGTGGTCCCGCCCGTGTACCCGCCCGGCATGATGGATCTCCGGAAGAGCTCCATGCTGGCGGTGGTGGACTATGTTCTCGACGACGTCGTCGGTGCCGATGGCATCCTCGGCCTCAACAAGATCGTGAACGCGCTCACCAACAACACCGGCCGGGTCGCCGTGTCAAACATCGGCCTGTCGGTGCCCATCCCCGTCGCGTCTCTCGGCGTGGTCACGTTCGGCCTCCACAACGTGTCGATCTCGGGCCTCAACACCTGGGGCCTGTTCGACGTGCTCGAGCCCGAGGGCCACTACAACCTCACCTCGCGCACGCAGCTCGACACCTTTGCTCTCTCCGTGGCCTTCTCGGTCAACGTGAGCGTCAACGGCACGCTCGGCGACACCTACCTCTACGAGGAAGCCGTACTGATCGCCGGGCTCGAGAACAACACTCTCCACTCCTCGCTGCAGGTCGCCATCAACGACGCCACCGTGCGGAGCCTCACCGACAACCAGATTATCGTGCCCGGCTGCCTGCTGTCGACCGTGCACGACCTCAACATGACGCAGCTCGACTTCTCGTTCGTGCTCGCACAGCTCCAAATTCTGGCTACCAACGGCGGCACCGAGGAGCAGCTCGACACGGCCATCAACAACGTCTTTGCGCTGCTCACCCAGTCGTTCCAACCGGCCATCCCGGCGCTCTTCAACGGCCTCGTGGCCGGACCCGTGCGCCTCCTAGCCAATGTGGGCTTTGGCGCGCTGCTCGAGGCCAACACGACCTGCACCAACCCGTCCAGCCCGGAGACCTTCAACCGGGAGTCCACCATCGCCGCCTTCTCCGGCGCCGGCGGCGTGTTCGCCGTGCTTCTGGCCCTGACCGTGGCCGCGCTCTTCATCTCCCAGATGCCGTCGTCGTCGCCATCCGACGAGGAGTCCAACGCGCCGCTTATCAACGACCACCGTGACCGCCGCGTGCTCTCCGACGACGCCATCGACGGCGTCGGCGAGACGAAGGAGGAGGAGGAGACTGATGGCCGCCGCAGCAAGTGGCTCAACGCGCTGATCTTCACCTCGCGCTTCCCCGCGGCACTGCGCTACGGCGTCCTGCTGTTGCTCCTGAGCAACATCGCGCTCTTCATCTCGTCCAACACCTCGGTCGGCGCGTCGGTCTACATGTACGTCACGATGGGCGGCGAGCAGACGAAGCTGCCCTCGCTGTTCGACTTCAGCCTGGGCAACAGCGTGGTGGACATGTGGCACGCCGAGGTCTACGCGCTCTCGCTCCTCATCGCCGTTTTCTCCGGCGCGTGGCCCTACCTCAAGCTGGTCATGCTGCTGCTCTGCTGGATCGTCCCCGTCAACCTTCTGACGCGCAAGAACCGCGAGCGTGTGCTCATGTCGCTCGACGTGCTGGGCAAGTGGTCCCTCATCGACGCCTTCGTGCTCACGCTCATGATGGTGGCCGTTCCACTTCCGCATCGTGCCTCCCGTCTCGCCGCACACGCCGCCGGCACCGCGCGGGTCGATGCCTACGTCGAGCCCCACTGGGGCTTCTACAGCTTCCTGCTCGCCACCATGCTCTCGCTCGCCAGCACTCACGTCGTCCTGGCCTGCCACCGCCTCGAGTCGGCCCCGAAGCCCAAGCCCAAGGCGCCGCACCTCGTGGCCCAGTCTCGCTCGCGCGGAGCTCCCGGGCAGCAGAAGCACAAGTGGGAGGCCCTGTGCTCGTACGCGTTCAAGTCCAACTGCGTGCTCTCCCGCTTCTCGTGGCTAGTCACCGCCGCCGTCACGTTCCTGCTCCTCTTCTCCATCGCGCTCCTCATCACCGGCTCCGTCATCGACTCCTTCCAGTTCCAGTTCCGCGGCGCCTTCCAGCTCCTCTTGAACTTCCTCCAGGAGGACTCGTTCACCTCCTACTCCATCATCTCCACCGGCCTCGCCCTGCCCAGCAGCGCGCTCAACCCCGACAGCTTCGGCGTGCGCTTCATCCAGGTCACCTGGTTCAGCTTTGCCATCGCCATCCCGCTGTGCTACCTGCTCCTACTCCTCGTTCTGTGGCTCACCCCGTTGACACCGAGGCTGCAGCGCGGCGTGTTCGTCGTGACCGAGGTCTTCAACGCCTGGTCGGCGCTCGAGTCGTCGTCGTCTCGATCGTCGCCGCGCTGCTCGAGCTCCAGCAGTTCTCGCAGTTCATCATCGGCAGCCGCTGCGACATCATCAACCCGCTCCTCGCCCAGTACTTTGGCCCCTATCTCGATGGCGACACCAAGTGCTTCGACGTCATCGCCACCCTGGACGACGGCTGCTTCTTCCTCTTTGCCGCTTGCGCCATCTACATCATCGTCGGCCTCGGCGTGCAGATCGCCTGCCACAAGGCCCTCCGCGAGCGCGAGGGCGAGCTCGCCGAAGCCGAGGCTGCCGCGCACCTCCCCATCAACATCAACGGCCCCGACTTTGACGGCGACTACGTCCGCTCCTACTTCCACGACGCCCAGGAGGACTGATGATCAGTCTCTCATCTCGTCAACATTCTACTTCTCTCCTCCTTCTCTGAGCTATGTACAGCGCTTTACCCCTTTCTTTGTGAGCTCAACTGAGTGACACCCCCCGAGCAAGGCTCAACAAAGTGAAAAACACCACGTGTTGGGTCACCCACAAAATGGTGACGATAATAGGTCCAGTAAAATAAAGAATTCATCATTGATTTCGCATTGGTTTCAGAAACGGTTTGGTCAAAAGTAAAACGTAAAAAAAGATGGGAGAGGAGCTGGCGCGCGGGTTGCAGGCATTGACACGAGCAACGCAGCTCGATGCGCAGCTGCGATATGGTGAGGCGGTGCAGGCTTATCGCGACGGCATTGCCCTGCTCTACCTGGCCTATGGCGGTACTCACAGATTCAATCTCATTTATCGATCAATGCAACTTTAACCAACCACTGGACAGATGCAAGGCAAGCAGACAGCTTCAGGCAGACGCTGCTGCAAAAGATCGGCGAGTACCAGAGGCGGGCTGACCAGCTGGCCATGCGCCTGGCAGCAGGAGGTAACAACTGCACAAGCCCTCAACCCATCAAGACAGCATTACTCGTGTGACACATGACGTGCAGGCAACGCAGGCAACCCACCTTCTACCGTGTCAGCATCAACAACCTCGCAACCTTCACACACGCCGACGGCTCACCATCGCCCAGCTCGACCACCTCCGTCATCGTCTGCGGCACAGCCACCGTCACACCACGGCCTTGACATCCCCAAGCACGCCCTCGCTGCGCTTGCCTCGACCGGCACCGCGGGTCCACCAACACCCGGTGGCCTTGGTGGTGGTCTGCCGCAGCACCACTTCGCCGACGAGGAGGACCGTGCGCTGATGGAGCGCGTCATGCAGCTTCGCGTGGATGTGGTGACCAGCAGTGCTGGTGGCGGCGGTCAAGGCGGTGGCCACGGCAGTCAAGGCGGCGGCCGCTCGGTCGAGGATGTCGACCGCGAGTACAGGGAGCGGGTGAATCGGTTGGCCGGCCGCGAGGTGATCGCTGACCCATCGGCCGCGACGCGACCGTCGATACTGGACGCGGAGGAGCTCACTGAGGAGGAGCAGATCGAGCGGATCCTGAACGCCGTCCACGACGACGTGCGGCTGGAGATCCTAGGCGGCCCCGTCGCTGTTGCCACCACTCCCACTTCGTCATCGCTGCCATCGGCCAAGAAGAAGAATGATCGACCGGGACATCGGCGGTCACGCAGGCGCGGACGACGCGCGAGCGACAGCGACACGAGCGATGATTCGAGCACTGACGAGAGCGGTGATGACGATGAGAGTGATGGTACCGGCAGCAGCAACGACGACGAGGAGGCCGAGCGACGGAGGAGACGAAGAGCGAGGATGGAGCAGGAGCGCGACCTGACGTTCGGGCAGAAGTGGGAGCTGCGCAAGAAGGAGCGAGAGGAGCGGAAGGCGGGCCGGCGAGATGCCGCTGACGCTGACCCGCTACGCGAGCGGGAGAAGGCCTTCATGGCCATGAAGGAGAAGGAGGAACGCGACAAGGAACGCAAGTACCGCGCCGAGTTCATCAAGAAGTGGGGCATGTGAAGAGCCACAACGACACGCACGCGCACGTTGGCACAATGGTGTGTGGAAGGAAGAGTACATTGACAATAAATAAAGAATCGGCGCAAAAGAGGGAGATTGGGTGAAGATAGAGCTGGCTCACAGGCTCTCCATAAGATTGGAGATGTCCCTGAAGTTCTTGGCAAACTCCTACATGGGTAACAATATAATGTCAGGCCTGAAGCAAAAGGATTGATGGAGGGGAGCAGAACCTGAAACTCGGGAAAGGAGAGTTCGAATGCGTGAGAGACCACCTTGCCGTTATCGTCGAGCGTCCGGAGGAGGATGGACACGAAGGGCGCGTTGAGTTTCTTGCAGTTGTTCGATTCCACTGCTACGCCCAGCTTCCATTCAAAATCGAGCAGCTGCCCCACGTTGAACACCTTTGCTTGTGCCATCTTGTTCTGATCAATTGATTTCGCTTCTTCTTGCTCTTTTTCGTCTTGTTGTCCAAAATTTCGTTTGCAATTTCCAAACGCAGCGAGCCTCGGTTTGCAAGAAGTGCGGCAACTCACAGGCCTGTGCACAGAACAGCCTTCTCCTGAGCTTGACTGGGAGACATGGTCGTTTGACGCAACTCGCGCCAGAGGAAGGTGTACCCTGATCTGATATCTATCAGCACGTGGGAGCTCAGCCAGGCCTGGAACGAGGAAGACGAACACACCACAAATTTCACCCAGCTTTTCTTGTCCATTTCACTACTTACCCAATCTTGTTGTTCGTTTCGCGATCTCGCTGGCAAAGCCCAAGGCCGCAGGACTTTGCATGTCACTGCACACAAAGAGTGATATCAAAACATAGACAAGCACGTCGATTAGAAAGACCGGATAACAAGGACAAAAGGAGGCAGTCGAATTCTTCTCCTTTTTATTTTATTTTAGCTTTTGTATTTAGTTTTAGCTTCCTCATCTCCGTCCGCATCCTCTTCCTCCTATCACATCCACCACTCCCCTCCTCTGTACAAAGAGCACGCCATGGAGCAGAGCAGGGGATTCACCATCGGAGGCTGGGTATCGGATGGCAAGCGAATTGGCAAGGGTGCCTTCGCCACCGTTTATCTCGGCCACCACAAAGATGACCCCTCCGTACGCCCCCTCCACAACTCTTATTATTTCTCCTTTTTATACAGACTTAATTCATTTGATTTTATAAGTAAAGGCATTTCTTTTCTTTTTAATGGCCATAAAAATCAATTCTTCATCTTGTGCATTGTGCGTGTGTGCTGCGGCATAACAGGAGCTCGTGGCGATCAAAGTCGTGGACGTGGACCGGCTCACGCGTTCCAACCAAAAGCTCAAGCGGCACCTTGACTCGGAGATCAGCATCATGAAAAGCCTCCAACACGACCACATCGTCACTCTTCACGAGGTCTTTGTGGTGCGTCGCCTCTCCCTTTCGCCACTACTGCCACAGCTCGTCGTGGTGGGCATGATGCCCCGATCGCACTCGCTCAGCACTGACCCGATACATGTACTGACGTTCGCCACATGACACGCGACACTCACCGCGCCACGACACGACACGACACACAGGAAGCGGAGTATATTTATTTGATATTGGAGTACTGCGTGGGTGGCGATTTCTCGGACTACTTGAAGAAGCACAAACGGCTGAGCGAAGACACCGCTCGCTCCTTTCTCCGCCAGCTCGGTGCGTTCCTAACTGGCCCTCGGCCCCGTCTCTCTCTCTCTCTCTCTCTCGATCTGTCCATCGCGCTGAACTGTCATCACTGGTTCTTTTCTCCCCGCAGCATCGGGACTCAAGTATCTGCACAGCCGGAACATTGTACATAGGGACTTGAAGCCACAGAATCTGCTCATGGCCGCCAAGCCCGGTCGGCTCGGCGGCGACAACGGCGACGACAGCACCCGGTGGGAGCTCAAGATCGCCGACTTTGGCTTCGCGCGGTTCATGGAGCCGCAGTCGGTGGCCAGCACCCTGTGCGGCTCGCCTCTCTACATGGTACGCCCGTCCTTCCCATCCCCAGCTGACCGCACGACACACGACACACGACACACGACACACGACACACGACACACGACACACGACACACGACACACGACACACGACACAGCAACTCACGACATTCCGTCCAACTTCTATTCGTGAAGGCGCCCGAGGTGTTGCTGTGCCAGCCGTACGACGCCAAGGCGGACCTGTGGTCGGTCGGCGCCATTCTCTTCGAGATGCTCACCGGCAGCCCGCCTTTCAACGTGCGCACGCACATCGAGCTCGTGCGGATCCTTGTCAGCGAACAAGGTAACATCCACTTTTTGCCCGCTCGCCCAGAGTGGTGGCGTGGCCGCAAGCAACTGCGTGTTTACACTCATTTCTGGTGTTCATTGTGTGTGTGTGTGTGTCGTGTCGTGTGTGTCGTGTGTGTGTGTTTTCAGTCAAGTTCCCTCGGAACCTAGGGGGTGTCGAGCGACTGCATGGACCTGCTGCAGGCGCTGCTCAAGAAGAACAAGGAGGAGCGCATCACGTGGCGCGAGTTCTTCAGCCATCCGTTCATCGTGCACGACACCGCCGCCTTGACCGCCTTCAAGACCTCGACCTCGCGGGCCATTCCTATTTCACACAGCGGGTCACATGGCGGACACAGGTTCGCGCGTGAACGCTCCAGCGAGTAAGTACACCGCGTCCCAGGCACCGACAGTCCTAACCATTGTATCTTTTCTTGTCGACACGATACAGGAAGCGAAGCGCAACGATCGGGAGCGCGCCTACGAATGTGGGCTACATTCTGCCGCCCTCGCCGCCGATGGCCGTCGGCTCGCCCATCTGCGCGTCGCTGCCGCCTCACCGCATGGAATCCAATTTCATATCCCCGCCGCGGAGCATGCCCCACGCCATCCCCTCGACGAACCACTACTACCACCCGTCCTTCCTCACGCCCTCCTCGCTCCCGCACAACATCTCCTCGTCCCCGCTCGAGCGCGGCGGCGGCGGTTTCCTGGTTGGCAGCGGTCACCCCGGCTACTCTTCGCCACCGCAGTTCGCCGCCTCGCCGCCCACCTTTACGGGCTCCCCATCGTCTCCCGGCTCGGTCATGCACATACGAACAGCCGGCGCCGGCAGCGGCGACCTCAACTCGCCCCCCTATCTCCGGAGTCCCAACTCCTCCGGCGGCTTCGGCGAAGGCTTCGGCTCAGGTTTGCTGCTTTGTTACTTTCGATTCCGCTCCAGCTCGCTTGATTGATTTCTCACGTTCTCGTGTCTTGGAAAACGTGTGTGTGTGTGTGTGTGTGGTGTGTGTGGTGTGTGTGTGTGTGTCGTTTCTGTGCGGTTGCAGGCTGGGGCTCGGGTCCACGCAAGCCGCTGACCAATCCGTTCAAGGAATCGTTTGACCTCTCCCCGTTCCCCTCCACCACCATCGACCCCAAGGAAAAAGAGGTAACGCGTTCCCGCGTCAACGCTCAGCCCAGCCCAGCCCTTGAGCTCTCAAGCCCTGATCACCCCTTTTGTGTCTGGCTCACGCTTCCGCTTTTCAGAGCGCTGGGTCGTCCGGCGCCGATGACTCGTTCGAGCTGTTGGAGTCCGAGTCCTCGACGTCGAACTCCACCCATACGACTCCCGAAGAGGTATCGTCCCCCACCCGTTGCCCCCTTTCCCTTGCGTGCCAGTACTCATGTGGGGAGGGCACGTTACACAGAGACGAATAGTCGATGCCCTGGAGCTGATGGTGCGAAAGACGGCCGTTGTGACCGAGCTGGCCGACAGCAAGGTGCGTTTTATTCCCCGACACATTCCCTGTTCGAGCGTTTGATCGTGCCGGGTGGACTGACCGAATACCATTCATTCCCCCGAAATGGTTGTGGCGCGTGCGCAGGTGGACGAGAGTCCGATCGACGCGCTGGCGCTGTACATAAAGGCTCTGCACATCTACCACTCCATCTCCCAGTATGCCAAGAAGAATGCCCAGTCGCAGAATCTCACCGCCTCCAAGCGGCTCGGCTTGGGTTTGCTCCCGCCTCTTCCCATCCCCGCGCCATTTCCTCGTGTGCTTCACTTCTAACGGACGCTTGTCTTCTTCTTCTCGACGCAGTGGTGGAACGGATGCGAAGCGAGTTCAAGGCGACACTCAAGAAGGCCGAGTACCTCAAGCGAAACCTGAAACCCAACGACTCGTGCCCACCGGCCGAGAAGTCCATCTACGAGTCGGCCCTCCAGATGGGACGAGACGGTGCTGTTGCCGAAGTGTTGCACAACTTCAGCAAGGCCGAATCGCTCTACGTGCGATCGTCGCAGCTGCTGCAGCTGCTCACCATGGACGCCAGCCACCCATCGGACAAGGCCGTTCTCGAATCATGTACGCAGCAGCCCACACCACTTCCTCTTCTTCTCCTTCTCCTTAGCTTATCAGCTTACGACGTTCCATGACTTGGCCATGCCGGCAGATATCGCGTCGTTCGAGAAGCGGTTGGGCGAGGTGCGAAAGAGTCAGGCGAAGTTGGATGACCACGTCGAGGACTCCCTAAACGTTGCCAACGATTAGTTGCGCCTTCCCCCTCTCCTTCTTCCCAATAAACACTCAAACGTGGTCGTGGCCGCCACCTTGAAGAAGGTGAAGACCAGGCGGAGCGTGTCCTTCGCGAAAAAAGGTGCGGCGTCTAAATTGGAGCACAGGGAAAATAAACAACAAGCGCGAGGGGAAAACGGCCACGCCAGCTGTCTGCGCGGATCGCACATCACAGATAAGAAGATAAAGGAAGCATCTGATCAGCATGTCAGAGGAGGACATTAAGCAGTACATCACGAGCGAGATGCCTGTCAATGACGCCGCCACCGAGTACGTTCCTTTTTCTGTTTCTCGGCCAATGAATGTTTCGATTATTATTTGACATACAGCAATGAATGAAAGACAGCAGAGGGAGGAGAATGAAGAAAGGAATTGATGGCTTGGGCCGGGTGTTGGGAATTAACAAACATTCGAATCGCAGGCTGGTGGAGTACGCGACTGCGACCGCCGACCCATTTGTGCCCGGCTATGAAGGCGAGCTCAACAGATGGCTTCAGCCCCCTCCTGGCGAAGGCTGCGGATGCACAGTGCAATAGTTTTATCGGCTCCCCCTCATCTTTCATCACTCATCCCACATCCCCTCACCTTTATCTTCTGTAGCAACAATCCAATTCAAATGAAACTAACGGTATCCCGTGCCATCTGTAACTGCTTGCGCCCTCCATTTCTACACAAATCATCACAGGGTTCGTTTGTGGTAAAATAAATACAAATAATTATAAATAAACCAATAAAACAGTTAATAAGCTTACTTATTGCCAAGTACTTGCTCGTAACCATCTTGTTGTAGCCGCTGCGATCGAAGATGAACGACACTCTGGCACAGGCAGTGATCGAAGACGGAGATGTGATGCTCAAGAGTATCGCCGTGTGGAAGGGCTGCCTCATCGGCGCCCTCGCCCTTTCCGTTCCGTTCTTTCGCGGCCTTTCCTTTGCCGACAACCTCGCCCTCCTCTGGTACCTCTTCTATTCCTTCTCTTTCTCTTCTGTTCCGTTCCTTTCTACGTCGTCAGTCAGTCGCTTCCATCTTCTTTGCATTCGTTCCGATCTTCCCCTCTACGGAGTGGAAATTAAGCCTAACGGCCGCGGGTTAGGTATGTGTACGACATGTTGGTGCACGTCATCATGGAGGGCTCGTTCCTCTACGTCTCGCTGACTGGCACCGCCGAGACCTCGGACTTCCCGCTCGCCTTCCTCTGTACTTGCCCCTCCCCAGACCTGCTTGAAGTGGTCGTTGTCTTGTCTTGGTCGCACCCTTACGCTTCGTTCTTTTCTTCCCTGGCGCGCAGGGAGGGAGTACGGCAAGGCCGACAGGCGCTGGGCCATCTCAGACCCGACCATCGTTTCGCTGGAGCTGTACGCCCGAGGGCTACGCGCGCACGGGGCGTTCGCGCTCACTAACTAACCAACGCTCTCCCCTTTTCTCGATCGGTGCATGCAGCCTCACGGTGGTCCTGTGCAGCATTCTCTGCATCCTCTTGGCCATCGCCATCGTCAACAGGAAGCCCTGGCGCCACTTCGTTCAGGTGTTCCTCTGCGTCATGGAGCTCTACGGCGGTACTCTCACCATCGCCGCGGCCCTCACCATGCATCGCTCAGCCTGACTCCGTGTGCGTGTGTGGCGTGTGTGTTCGTGTCGTGTGTTGTGTCGTGTCGTGGTATGCAGGCTGGATGACGTTCTGCCCCGAGTGGCTGACTGGCAACCCCAACCTGGACGGCAGCAACCCGGTGTACCTGTGGGTGTACCTGTGGTTCGCCAACGGCATCTGGGTGGTCATCCCCGCCATCCTCCTGTGGCAGTCCTTCGTCGCCATGAACCAGGCCTTCTCGACCACCGGTGGCGCCGCCCACGTCAAGACCAGCGGCAAGAAGAAGACCGTCAGCGGCGCCAAGGACGTGGGCACCCCCGGTAAGACCACGCCCAAGGCTAAGGCCAAGGCCCACTAGAAGCCGCGCATTCGCGGAATAGAGCCACACATCTATTGGCCCACTACGACTGCTTCACAAGGCGTTGTCGCCGCTGCCGCCGTCGTATCGGGGTCGACGAGCACTGCCGTCCGCGTGCAGCCGCCACGCCGCGCGGAGACCCCGGTGCACGAGGAGCGGGTCGTAAAGCGGTCGGTACTCCCGGGCGTCGGCCTCCAGGGCCTCCACCAGCTCCGCGCCGCCTCCACCCGTGACCGCCACCCGGACCTGCAAGGCTGTTAGGCACGGGCCACCAGCGCAGTACTTAGCGTCAGTTCCCACGCACGGGACGCACGCAGTCATTGGTGAGCGCACGCGTACGTCGTTCGCTGCCATCGGGGGGTCGACGTCGCTCCAGATCCGCGGCCACCGCCTTGACGACCGCAACCGCGCCTTTCACGTGCAGATGTCGCACGCCCGCGCGGATGGCCTCCTCGGTCTACGCAGAGGGCACCCGCGTGTGAGGTCGCGCAGCGAAGAGCGAGCGGAGAGGAGAGGGCAGCACAGCCGTACGCTCAGGCCCACCAGCGGCGGTGGAATGGAGGCCGGCCAGTAGGTGAGGCTGGGCAGTTGTGCGGTGCCCGATGACAGGCTGCGCAGCATGAGGCCCTCGCCCGGCATGATCAGCCCGCCCTCGAACACGCCCACCTCCGGCCATGCTGCGGTACCACGCCATCAGGCCCGGAAGCTCGCGGAGCAGCCGCACGCAGGCGTACATGTGTGCGTGTGCGGTCGTGCGTACCGGCCTTGGGCGAGGGCAGTACCACGTTGACGGTGAGCGCCGTGCCGGAGTCGACCACGACCCACGCGGTGTCCTCGGCGGGCGACTGGTGCGGGTCCAGGGCCAGCGCGCCGAGGGCCGCGCACAGCCGGTCCTTGCCCACCCGCCACGATGGGGAGGGCTTCACCCGCAGCCCCAGCTCCTCGACCAGTCTCGCCCGAGAGCGCTCGTCGATCTCGGCGGCGTCGTGCTGCTGGTCCGCCGAGCGGTGGAGCAGCCGCACCTGGGCGAACGGTGGTCCCTCCCGGCTCAGCGCGTCGTGTAGCAGCACCTCCACCGCAGGCACCGAGCCGCCGCCGATCACCACGTCCACCGCGTCTTCTCCCACGTCCTCCTGTTCTTCGTGCGGTGCACAATTGTGAGCTGAGCCGCTCGAGCGGGAGATGGGTACTGGTGAGGATGGAGGAGCACCTTGAGGTGTTGGTAGAGGGTGGAAATGAGGGGTGTTGGCGTAGGGCCTCGCCCTCGCTCAAGTCCGACTTGAGCGAGGCGGTCTCGCCCGTGCACACCACTATGCCCTCCTCCGCCTGTGACCGCCACAGCACCATGCGCGTGGTCGTGTTGCCCACCGCCACGCTCACCAGGCCCCTCCTTGTGCTACTCTCGTCTTCCATCTATGTTTCTTTTTCCAACGGTGCGGGGATATCCTTCACCGCCACGTCATCACACATCGCTGCTTTTAGCTGCTTTAGCTTCCCAGGACCACGCCACCGGGTCCCTTGTGGTGGAGCGTGTCTGCCACAACAGGGCCTCGTGTGTGAACGATGGTGGGGACGGCGATGGGTGTGGATCGGTTAAGGTTAAGGTGGCGCAGCGAAATTTCGATTGGTGGCACATTACTCTTTTGTGACAAATCACTCAGTAAATCCATTGCCAATCTCGATCAAGTACAAACTCGATCTCGTGAAGGACTTGCATAATGAGGAGAACTGTGCAGCTGTCGTCCCGCGTTCTTGGCTCGAGGGCCTGCACCACTTCGGCTGCGTCGGGTGCCCAACTGCTCCGCACTGCGTCGGTGGCACGAAGCTACAGCGTGTCAGCCAATCTGAGGGATACCGTGGCCGAGGGCCTCTTCGATGATACTCAGAAGGAGCTCAAGGAGACCGTTCACCAATTTGCCCAACGCGAGATTGCACCACTCGCCGCCGAGCTCGATCGGAAGAATGAATTTCCCATGGTGCGCCCTCTATGTTTGCATAATCTCGTGACAATGCTCATTAATGTCCGCTCATGAGGCGCTTTCTCCCAGCGCTTTTTATCAATCTGAAAATCCAGTACTAACCAATTCTTATTAAATTCATGATTGCAGCACCTGTGGCGCAAGCTGGGCGAGCAGTCGCTGCTGGGCATCACCGCCGATCGTATGGCACCGCGCTAAGCACCCAGCCTTGTCTTGGTCTCACTTTGGCCCATTGCGTTTGTTATATTGACGTGCAGCCGAGTATGGTGGCATGGGCATGGGCTACACCGAGCACTGCATCGTCATGGAGGAGCTGTCGCGTGCGTCCGGGTCGGTGGCCCTCAGCTATGGCGCCCACTCCAACCTGTGCGTCAATCAGATCTCGCGCAACGGTAACGAGGCCCAGAAGAAGAAGTACCTGCCCAAGGCACGTTCTCCTCTCTTTGTTTTGTTGGCGTGTCAGGCCAAGGAGCGAAGCTAATTTGTGCACGATGCCACTACCACAGCTGATCACGGGCGAGCACGTGGGTGCGCTTGCGATGAGCGAGCCCGGTTCGGGGTCCGACGTTGTGTCGATGAAGCTCAAGGCCGAGAAGAAGGGCAACAAGTGGTATGATGACTCTTCCGACTCTTCGTGTGTCGTGTGTCGTGTGTCGTGTGTCGTGTGTCGTGTGTGCTCTCGCGGATGTGTGTTGACGTCAACAACTTGCTCCCAGGGTGTTGAACGGCAACAAGTTCTGGATCACCAACGGACCCGATGCTGACGTGCTGGTCGTCTACGCCAAGACCGACATGGCCGCCGGACCCAAGGGCATCACCGCCTTCCTCGTCGAGAAGGGTGCGCCCTAGCCCAGCCCAGCCCAGCCTATTCTCTATCTCCTTACACACTCAGCCTCCCAAATGAGTGGTGCGTCTTCTCACCGCAATCTGCGTCCAGGCTTCGCTGGTTTCTCGACTGCGCAGAAGCTCGACAAGCTCGGCATGCGTGGTTCCAACACCTGCGAGGTATGGAAGCCTGGCTTGGCGCCACCCTCGTGTCTCATCGATGCAATTTTCTCATCTCTTTGTGCTCTTTCCGCGCACGGCACACAGTTGATCTTCGAGAACTGCGAGGTGCCCGAGGAGAACGTGCTCGGTCAGGTGGGCAAGGGCGTGTACGTCCTCATGTCCGGCCTCGACTATGAACGTCTGGTCCTCGCCGCCGGCCCTCTTGGGTATGCGCACACCCGCCTCCTGTTATCCCTCACTTGTGACGCTAACTGCTGTGGTGTGTCGTGGTGTGTGCGGTGTGTGCGTGTGCGTGTGGTGTTGCAGTCTGATGCAGGCGTCCCTTGACGTGGTGCTGCCGTACGTGCACGACCGTACTCAGTTCGGTCAGCCCATCGGCACGTTCCAGCTGATGCAGGGCAAGCTGGCGGACATGTACACCACCACCAGTGCCTGCCGATCCTACGTCTACACCGTCGCTCGGGCCTGCGACAAGGGCCAGGCCGATGCCAAGGAGTGCGCCGGCGTCATCCTTTACGCCGCTGAGAAGGCCACCCAGGTCGCTCTCGATGCCATCCAGGCTCTTGGTACACACACACACACTGCATACGCACACGCGCACACGCGCGCACCACACGCGCACCGCACACGCACGCAATGGATATGTGGCTAACTGCGCGACACGCCAGGTGGCAACGGTTACATCAACGACTACCCGACCGGTCGTCTCCTGCGGGACGCCAAGCTGTACGAGATCGGCGCCGGCACCAGCGAGATCAGGCGCATGCTCATCGGCCGGGACCTCAACAAGCTCTACGGCGTCGAGAGGAAGTAAGCAGGTCCTGCACACAACTTCAACTCCAACTCCACACTTCAACCATACATTCACATTCGTTCGAGTTGCTTGCACACCCCGTGGCGCTCGTTCGCGTCAGTCGACAATCACTCGTCTTGTTCTTCGCGATCGACGGCAGGCCGACGCTTGGCCGAGTGGAGAGTGAACGCTGGTCCCCTGGTGGCGTGCAGCGTGATGCTGCTGACCCGGTCCCACGACGGCAGCTCTTCCCTGAGCGCCGCCACGAAAGCTTCGACGTTCTGGACGAGCTGTTCGGCGCTCATGCCCACGTTGCCCACTGGGTTTGCGACCGCAACAGGTGAGGGCAAGTCAAACAAACACCGCACGACATGACACGACACGCACGCACGCACGACACGACACGCGCAGTTGCAGAGCAGGGGGCGGGTACCGGCAAGCTGCAGGGTCGGACTCTTGCGCAGGCGCAGGCGGGCCGTCCGGTGACGCTCCTCGACCACTGTCGCCAGTGGGACGTCGGTGCGCAGCACCTGCAGCGGTACGGTCTGCCGCGAAGTGCCCACTCGGGGTCCCAGAAACCTTGGCATCATGCGGATGACGTCCTGGTGCGCCGCCAGGAAGCAGCAATGCCCCCGTTCTTCAGGGGGTGCCAGGCAGGTGGGTGTGAGTCGTGTAGTTGACTAACGTGTGCACGCTGCTGCTGCGAGAAGAGGCGATGAAGTTGTTGGTAACCGACGCACCCCACTTCTTGATTCGTTTCTTGTCCTTGTTGAAGCTCTTGAGGTGGTCATCGTCGTAGTAGGCCACCCCCAGCTCTTCGGCCTGTCGTCGCAGTTCGGGCTGTCCGGTGGCTGCCCCAGTGATGAGCCCAATTCTGCCACGGGGCGATGCTGCGTGCCTGTGATCAATCAATCTGATTGGTTCAACACCACCAATCATCGGCGGTTGTGTGTCGTGTGTCGTGTGTCGTGTGTCGTGTGTGTCGTGTGTGTCGTGTGTCGTGTGTCGTGCGGTGTGTACCTGATAGCATGTGGCAGCACCACCGACCTGACAAACCTGCGCTCCCGGGCAGTGTCGTACCACAGTGCGACGGCGATTTCGACCGTCTCGGTGGTCATTCTACTTTCCCACCAAAACCACCAGTGTGTCGCGCGGGTCACTCGACGCGACGGCTGAGGTGCAGCCAGTGGTGGGGCGTACCCGCGTGTGCGTGCGTCGTTCAACAGCTGTGGTACGGCCTGGGCCAGAGCGGCGCGGAACGGATCGACAGCGCGGAGGCGCAGGCCAAAGTGGTGCTTCCAGGACTTGTGCCGGCGTGCGAGCATGCGTGGCGTCCACTCCACACCTCGGATCTCTCGGCGGCACATGCCCCTCTGGCGTAGTTTGTCAAAGGAAGGCGTGCCAACACAATGTATATATATTAAATTAAATTTACAGAATTATGTATTAAATAGTAAAAAAATAAATGTAATGAATAGTAAAATATAAATAAAATGGAGGCGATGAAGAATTGGGGGGAGAACCCAGAGGCAGTTGGTTGAAGAGAGGGCGTGCCACGCGCGGCACACCAGGCTCGCTGTGCAGAGGCTACGACGGTCGAGCAGCTCCCATATGCACACCTGCAGCTGCACTTTTCACGTTTGCCCGGGAACAAACTCAGGTCCCTCAAACTCAGGTTCCTTGGGGGGGGGCATAACACCTCGTGGGGGAGTGCAAGCACAGGCTCGGAGTGGCACTCCTCACTAGTGGTGGAAGACCATGTGTTACGGCCAGACTCGAACGCACGAAGTCTACAACAAGATGCTTGACATTCCAAGCTCGACTTTGCGTGAAGAGGAGCGAAGAGCACAGGACAAGAACACCATCAACACCACCAGCATCTCTATCGCTGACGTGGCAGTTTTCCACGGGAGCACTTGGAGTGAAACAAGTTCAGGAGACGAAGTTATTGACCACTCAGCCCAACAATGAACAAATTCACCAAGGGAGGCCAAGAGGCAGTGTTTCACCGCTGTGATCAGTTTACCTACGGTTTCTTCCACACGTACGACAACCTGGCGCTGGGCGACCACCAACCGCACAAGGTCCACGTCCTCCTGCCGGCTGACTACGAAGAGAGTCAGCACAAGAGGTGGCCCGTGGTCTACTTCAACGATGGCGACACCACTTTCTGGCCCGGCGGCGGCTTCCACAAGACCTGGAACGTGGCCGGCATCATTTCGGGCATGGCAGCAAGCGGCGAGGTGGAACCCGTCATCATCGTGGCCGTGGTGCCGAACGACCGAGAGCACGAGTACACCGACGTCGAGTGGGCACCGGGCCGGGCCTACGGCGGCCTGGACCGCTACGCACAGCTGATGGCCGGCCACATCAAGCCGTGGGTCGATGCCACCTACCGCACAGTGCCCCACCCCCGGCGCACCACCATCGCCGGGTCGAGCCACGGCGGCCTCGCCTCGTTCTACATCGCGGCCACTCGGCCCCAGAGCTTCGGCCTCTGCATAGCCTTCTCGCCTTCCCTGTGGGTCGGTCAGAGCTACTGGCGCCTGGGCCTGGCATCATCGGGCGTGGCGAGTGTAGTGGATCTGCTGGGCTGCCCTACCACTTTGGCAACCGGTCACGTGGTGCGGACCACCCTGACCGCGGTGGGCGAGCGGCCCACGATTTTCTTTGGCGTGGGCCTGCGTCGAGGAGGCGGGTTCCACAACGCGTGCGTCGAGCGCTGGGCCACCGAGTGCACGCTGGCGGCGGTGGCGACGCTGACAGACTCGGAGAGCCAGGGCCACGCCGCGTATTGTGAGGGCACGGACCTGTTCGTGCACAAGGACCCGATCGGCGAGCACACGGAGGAGACCTGGCAGCGATGGTTGCCCTACGCTCTCCGCCTCTTCTACGGCCCTCGTTCATGAACCTACCATCAACATGTTCACCACCAAGAAGAGGAAGGAGAAGGTAATCGAGCGCGTTCATATACACGAATGAATCATCCTCTCGTTGGGTTGTTTGTGTGGGATCTAAACGATCATCATCGACATCAGCGGCTCCGCCGAAATCAATCGAACTGCCAGTTTGGTCCCGGAGCGCACGCTTGCGCTACCCGGCCACGGCCACGCCCGTTCCGATCACCACCAGCACCAGCGCCACCGCCAACGGCACCGCCACTGCCACGCCCACGATCAGGCCTGTGCTCGACGATGACGACCCACCATCGTTGGTTGATCGACCGAACAGCACGCCGAGGCCCACGCTCGGATCGTAGGCCACCGACCTATTGAACGGAGGGAACCTCAGCTCCAGCGACCTCCCGTTGGTGAGGGTCAGGTCGACGCGCACGAGAGGCACCACGGCGTCGTCGATGAGCGCCACGTTGACCACCTCCACCTGCACCACGCCCCTCACGTTGCTGCTGGAGGTGGCAGGTGGGAGCACGACAATGAAGGTGGTCATGCCAGCCTGCGGCATGTTGCTCCATAGGTGCACAAAACAGGCAGAGGTGTGGCCAACTCTGTAAAACTACTTGACTGTTAAGCCAGGTGGTACACAGCCAAGGTTTGGCCAAGAGTTGTAGGCATGTTGCTGCCTACTCTCTCTGCACCTCTTGGATCACTCACGTTGCCCACATCTGTCATATTCCAGTTGGCGTTTGAGTTTCCCAAGTACTGGACGAGCGGGCGGGGCGGGCGTGCAGGCGTGCATGTGTGCGGGCGTGCGTGCGGGCGTGCGGGCGTGCGGGCCGACATTTTGATTTATATTGTCCTTTGCTGACAACACAAAGAACTTATGCTGAAGAACCGCTAGCGTTGGCGGACTATAGGTAACAGGCCAATAAGTTCTTTGTTCTCCGCTTTTCCTTGGTCGACAGAAAAGCAAAAACAGACCGTCGACCAATCCTTTGCCTCGCTCGTTTAGTTACTCTTCGCCGTTTCTGCTCCGTGGTGCCCATAAAAGTGGGCCACAGCTCTTTTAAGAAACAAACCACCACCCAACAAACAGCAAGCTTAACACAGTCTCCAACCAACATGTCGCACGCCACTTCAACCAGTCCCCAACCTCGAGTTTGGCTCAGTACGCCACCCATGCCATTTATTGCACTCTTCACCCCCCACCCTCACCAAACCCCTCAAACTCCCACTACCCGCGCAGTCACCGGGTCCTCGACGGGTCTGGGCCGCAGTCTCGCGGAGGCCGTGCTGGCCGCCGGCGAGCGCCTGGTCGCCACCGCACGCAACGTGTCGGCACTCGATGGCCTGGCCGAACTGGCCGACACCGACCGACTACTCGCCGTCCAGCTCGACGTGACCGACCAGGCCCAGGTCGACGCTGCGTTCGCGCAGGCCGTCGCCCGCTTCGGCCGGGTCGACGTCGTGGTCAACAACGCCGGCTACGGCCTCCAAGGCG